TATATATATATATATATATATATATATATATATATATATATATTGATTATAATTCCCCATCCATACACTCTTTTTTGCCATATTTATTAATTGAACTTTATATTTATTATGTAATATGGGTTGTATATTTATCTTATCTCAGTTTATGTTGAAGTTTGACGATTTTTTTTCTTTATCACCAATAACGGGCTTCAGTAAATTTACTGTAAATCAATGGTGCCATTAAATCTCAAGAGTTTATGAGTAACAACTTTACTTTTATTAATAGGGACTATTAGTGAGAACCCCTCTAACATTATTTTAATAAGGAAGGGTCCAGCTCATTTTCCTTTATCAGTGAGAAACCCATTCTTTTTGTATTCTCAAATTTACCCTCCCACTATTCACTACTCATTATCCATTAGTTTGATATATTTTTTTTTATTTTTTATATTTTAATTTTAATTTTCGTTTTTTTATTTATTTCTTTTTTAAAAAATAATTATTTTTTTTAAAAAAAACTTTTTTTTTTTATATTTATTTTAATATTTTTCTTTAAATATTACTTTTCTATATTATTTTAGTTTTCAGTTAAAATAACTATATGCCAATAAAACGACTATTATTAAAACGACTATTATAAAACGACTATTATTAAAACAAGATACATCAGTTTCACAATTTATTAAATTAATTATATATTATATTATTCCATTATAAGATTAACTAATTATTTAATTAAAACATCTCCAAAACAACTATTTGTTAAATGAACTATTTATTCAAACAAACTAAAAAGTAATGAAAACAATAATATTGTTGTGCAAAAACAACTATATTACTATACGAAAACAACTATATAGACTCAACTACAAATTATTGAAATCCACAAAAGCAAAAGCAAAAGCAAAAAAACACACCAAAATTCCAACAAAAACGACACGCTATTACGCGTAAGTAAATGAATTAGGGGGTTTTTACGTATTTCTTCTCCAGGTCCACCTCCAACAACAATCCAAAGAATGGGAGCAATTGTTGACAAAAGTTCACCACCTACAAATTTAAAACACCGACAAATATCACAAATCAATTACAAAAAGTAATAAAAAAAATA